GTGGGTGTGTGTGTGTGTGTGTGTGTGTGTGTGTGTGTGTATGTATGTATGTATGTATGTATGTATGTATGTGTTTTTTTGCCTAGTGAATTTATAAAATCTAATTGGAAAATTTTTATACTTATCTTCTCAAGCTTGTGCTGTGAGTGTGGTGTTCCAATTAGCCCAAATCCTGCCAACGTTTGTGTGGCTTGTTTGAGAAGTAAAGTTGACATCAGCCAAGGTGTTCCAAAGCAGGTCTCCATTTCTTTCTGCAAACAGTGTCAAAGGTATGGTACTGTATGTTACTTGTTTAGCTTTCTTAAGTTGATATTCATACAGAGAGCCACTGGGATGTGCTGGGATTACACCAAAGTACCAGAAGGAAGCATGTGCAATTGAGATTTAATTTTTACTTAGGTTGATGGTACCAAAGATTTTATAATTTGCGATTTCCTAATGTGCTTTCTACTGTCCTACTAATTTGGTAAAGATAGTAAAAGTCCTTGTATAAAAGTATTTTGAATTTGACAGTAGAAGATGCCTTCTGAGAGTGGATGTTTCATTCCTTCTTTAGTTTCATTCTTTCAGTTGTTGGCACAAGCTACCTACATCTGGTGGTTCATTGAGAGACAAAACTTGCCAGTGAATATAAAAATTTTATTCCTGTAATTTCCCAAATAGGTTTAGCACTTGGCTTTGTATATGTGGAGGTTGTCTGTCCCCCCCCCCCCCCCAAGAAATCAAAATGTGTCTCCTCAGAATATCTGTGTGCACATACACAAGTCCATGTACTTAGTGTACTGTTTGGGGGATTTAGAGTGAGTGAGCCTGGTAAGTATGAGGCTTTTCATTTGTTATAAATATTTATCATTAAGCACATGGTGGGGTTTTGCTAGTCAGTGAATCTAGTTTATCTTGGATTTCATAGCCACTGGTTTTCTGCAATGCTCAGGTATAGTTTCTCTGAGTCTGAATTTTCTTAGGAGAATGAAGGGATTTTATTAGATGATAGGTAATATTTGAAACACCATTTAAAAGTACTTACAAACAAATGTTTTTTCTTGAAGCATGAAAATCAAAGTGTTTAACCATTTAGTAACCACCAAAAGGAAGCATTTACATAACTCATTTGAGAGTATTTAACAAATAAGATAAACAAATAAATACTGTGTACTAGTCCTTGGAAGAGCAGGTTAAACTTTTTTTAATATACAAAAAGGATTTATACTTCACTTCGCTTTACTTTAATGAGGTTTAATTAATTATTATTATTTTTTCAAGGCAATGTTCCTTGAAACTTGCCCTGTAGACCAGGCAGGCCTCGAACTCAGAGATTGCCTGTCTCTGACTCCTAAGTAGGGTACATCAAAGGCATGTATCACCAATGCTTGGCTTAATGAGGCTTATTTTGGAAATTGTGTTTTTCAGCTTAAAAATTGAAACAACTTGATGACAAACTTGTTAATACATGGTGTTGTATTGTACTGTGTTTCTGGGTTTTTGGTGTGTGTGAGAAATAAGCATTTCTCAAACATTTTAAAAGTATAAAATAAACAATTTTAGTGCCATTTTGCCATCATTCTTACCTCTTTGTCAGTATAGCTTCAAGGAAAATTTGGGCATATTGCCTTCCTTACTGGAATTTTTAGAAATTCTGTTTTTCTTTTATTTATTGTATGTTAGTATGTGCATTTGAGTGCAGTGCCCCTGAAGACCAGGGGCATTGAATACCCTTAGAGCTAGAGCTTTATTTATGGGCTGCCAATAGTGAGTGCTGGAAACCCAATTCGAGTCCTTAACTGCTGAGTCATCTCTCCAGCCCTCCTTGGTGGAATTGTGTTTTATTTTTTGTAATGTTTATGAATTTATTTGGTATGTATGTGCTTGTTGCCATGCTATGTATGTAGAGGCCAGAGGGTGACATTCTTCCACTATTCGAGCTCTCATCATCAGGCCTGGCAGCACACTTTACTCTCTGAGCTGTCTTCAGTATCTCTTAGCTGGAATTGAAGTGGTAAAATATATAATAGATACCTCAGATGGGCTTTCTCAGAATTTCAGTTTTGAGCTAAAGATGTGGACTCTCTTGGGGTTTTTAATCTTTTTAGGTTAAGGCTTCAGAGTAGCTTTGGCTATTACTCCTGGTTAATAATGAGTATAATTTCTGCATATCCAATGGAAATTGCTATTTTTTTCTAAGAAGTGGCAGATTAGTATGTTGTCTTCTTTCAGATATTTTCAGCCACCAGCATCTTGGGTACAGTGTGCTTTAGAATCCAGGGAGCTTCTTGCTTTATGCTTGAAAAAAATTAAAGCACCTCTGAGTAAGGTAGGTGAAACAGTTAAAATAAAACATTTTCAGAAAATCTTTCCATGTGGGTTTGTTTTGTTTTGGTGACATTTGTTTGTTTTTCTCCTGTTTTCTTTTCCTTCTGTGTTTTGGTGCTGGACATTTAACCAAGGGCCTTGCCCATGTTTGCCAAGTACTCTACCACTGAGCCATTTTGCTAGTCCCATTACAAATGTTTTGATATACACTCTCTCTCTCTCTCTCATACACACACTCCTAATTTTTATATTGACCTTTGTTCAGCAGTAATATTTTTGTTTTTGTGTATGGGTCCTTTGGCCTGTGTGTATGTTTGTGCATTATGTGTGTACAGTGCTTCTGGAAGCCAGAAGAGGTTGTCGGATCCCCTGGAACTGGAGTTTCAGATGGTTGTGATCTGATCTGTTGGTGCTGGGAATCGAACCTCACGTCTCTGAAAGAGCAGCAAGTGCTTTAACCATTGAGCCATCGCTCTAGGTCTAGCAGTAATATTTTTAAGTTCTTATTAATTTTGTCCTTGGGTTTTTTTTAATTGTCTGGAGAGAAGCAATATAATCAGGATAACTAGAAGGAGAAAGGATGCTCCATTGAGTTTTTTTTTTTTTTTAAAGGTTTTGTTGGGAATGGTGAGCATAGGTAAAAGATTTTAGGATTAGATGGAGGCAGAAGAGACTGGAGAACCATATGAAGATTGATTGTAGGAAATGAGACAGTGACTGAGGTATCTGGGATTACAGTAAAGGATAAAGAACTCAATAAAATTGGCAGTTGCCTCTCTAAGGAGAAGTGTGGTGAGCCTTCTGAATGCTGAAGTGATGTCAGGGTCTCGCCCTTCCTGCAGATGAAGGTTGGATGCTTTAGGAAGAACAGGCAGACTTATTTAGTGCCGTGTACATTTCCTCCTAATTACTGCAGATAGAAACTGGGGGTGTGGTGGTGGTGGTGGTGGTGGTGGTGGTGGTGGTGGTGGTGGTGAGGAGGAAGACAATGAGACTGGAGGTGGGGTGGTTAGGAATCTGCTTATCATTCTATCTGACTTGATTTCTTGACTACTGGGATTTGCTGTAGCTCAGTCATATTAGGTGGGTTTTACTCACGTGGGTTTAGTACCACGTTAGCCTTGTTAGCCTTGGTTAGCCTTGTTCTCACCATATAGTATTTGATACCATTATAATCTGCTTGCTCATACTTTAAAGTCTCTTAACAGATTTTCCATGCACCTCTAGACCAGTATCATACTATCCACTCATGTGTGTCATAGATGCCATGAAGAGATCTTTTTCCATTAAATCTTGCTTGTTTATGTCAAAACAAATTTGTATTGCATTTTGCCAACGCTGGATACTTGGGCTTTGTACTAGTGAATGTGTCCCTCCTCTTTCTAGTATATAGATATTAAATCCTGTAGAATTATCTGGTAAGTAGCTGCTCTTGCTTCTCTTATTTCTGGATCCTCTTAGTTCAAGTTTCTACTCAGATTATTACAGAGCCTCCATTCTTGTTCTCTCAGTCTTTCTGTTCCAAAGCTCTTATTCTAAGCTTGCTTCATTTTATTTAATTCATCAAGAAGAGCAGTGAATGTTACAGTTATGTAGTGACTACATGAATATTTCTCAGATGAATGTTCATTCTTTAATTTTTTTTTTTAATGTCCATTGATGTTTTACTAGCATGTATGTCTGTGTGAAAGTATTGGATCCTCTAGAACTGGAACTACAGAAAGTTGTGAGCTGTCATGTGGGTGCTGGGAATTGAACCTGGGTCCTCTGGAAGAGCAGCCGTGCTCCTAACCACCAGGTCATCTCTCCAGCCCCCAAATGACCACTATTAAAAGGAAAAAATAAACAAACAACAACAACAAAAAGAAAGCTACAGACCAACATAGAATGATAATAACTTGAGTAGAAGCTTTTATTGTTTCTTTTGGGTATTGAAGTTACCAGTTCATTTTCTTATTTTAATATATATAGCTTGAAGAACAGTAACTTTTTTTTCTTCAAATAATTTTTTCACCTGTGAAAATACTTTTAATCCTTTTTGGTTCACTAGTGCAGTCATTGGGTTGCTGTTTCATTTGCTGCTTTTGTTGCTATGGCTTTAGTGATAAATCTTTTTTCCGTTTTTGTAGTGAATTGTATGTAATGAATCACATGTTCCCTCAAAGATCTTGTGTGTCTATTAATGAGGTATCCTTTCATCTTTCCATCCCTCAGGTGGAGACTTAACATTTCCTTTCCTTGTTTTAATATTTTATTGAAGGTACGACTTGTTGATGCAGGCTTTGTTTGGACTGAGCCCCATTCCAAGAGGCTTAAAGTTAAATTGACAATTCAGAAAGAGGTAAGGTGTTCATTTTTTTTTTTTTTTTCTAAACATGGTTAAAATACCAGGAGTGGGAATGAGAGTCTAGTGTTAAATTATCTTATAGACTAAATGGCTTAAAAGGTAGAGTGCAATTTAAATTTTGTTGTTTTGTTTTTTGCTTTTTGCGTTTTGTTTTTCGAGACAGGGTTTCTCTATTGCTTTGGAGCCTGTCCTGGAACTTTTGTTCTGTAGTCCAGGCTAGCCTCAAACTCACAGAGATCCATCTGCCTCTGCCTCCCAAGTGCTGGGATTAAAGACGTGCACCACCAACACCCGGCTTTCTTTTGTTATTTTTTAATCATCTGACATGATCTCTATGATCATGACTATCATCATTAGTAGCTACCATTACTCAAAATTAGTGGGTTCCATAGTCTCTTTAAAGGTTTTGTTTTTGTTTTAAGATATATACTAGGCTGGCCTGGAACTCACAGAGATCCTCCTGACTTTGCCTCTGAGTCCTGGCATTAAAGGTGGTGTGTACCACCATGCCCAACTCTCAGTTTTTTTTCTCAGTCATATGTTGTTGGTGCCTGTAATTCCAGGGCTGCTAGTCTAGTTCTACACATGACACTCTCTCAAAACGAAACAAACAACAGAACTGGAAAGATGGCTCAGGTGTTGAGAACACTTTCTGCTCTTCCAGAAGACCTGAGTTCAGTCTCTGGCACCCACATTGGGCACCTTTCAACCACTTGTAATTCCAGTTCCAGGAGATCTAACTCTCATTTCTGGCTTCCATGACTACCTCCACTCATGTGCACATCCATACACAGTTCAAAAATTAAAGCTATTTTAAAAACAAAAATAATTTTAAAACATTACCAAAGACAGTGATTCTCAAACTTGGCTGATTATCATATTTCACAGAATCAGAATCTCTGAATAGATTTATTTGTTTATTATTTTCCTGAAGCACTGGAGATCAAGCCGAGGGTTTCAAGTGAGCCAGGCGAGCTCTCTATTATTAAACTTATGTATACCTGTAGACTGTATTTAAAAAGCTTCCCAGGTGATGTTTGATTGTTTCTGGAGAATTTCCTTTTTAATGTTCTAAAAGTGAATTCTTTGTGTGTCACACACACAGGTACACATGCATATGTACACAGCATGTACATGTGTATATAACTTTAAAAATATTTTTTTTTTAGATTCAGTTCTCAAACTCAGTATATTGCCATGGATGACCTTGAATATTTGATATCCTGCTTCTACTTTGAAAGTCCTGGATTATAGTTGTATGCCAGCATGCTGGCTTTATGTGGCAGTGGGAATCAAATCCAAGGCTTTAAGTGTGACAGATAAGCACTCCCCCAGTGAAGCCACATCTGTACTCCAATAAAAGATTATGTTCACTACCACTTTTTCTAGAGGTAAACTTAAAATCGTAATCTAATCTTTAGAATTCAACATGTGTACCTTTTTTTTTTTTTTTTTTGGTTTTTTTCAAGACAGGGTTTCTCTGTAGCTTTGGAGCCTATCCTGGCACTTGCTCTGGAGACCAGGCTGACCAGGCTCGAACTCACAATTCGCCTACCTCTGCCTCCCTAGTGCTGGGATTAAAGGCGTGTGCCACCAACGCCCGGCATGTGTACCTTTCTTAAACTAGTATAACTTACCACTGGGGTAAGTAGCTCAGTGACAGAGTACTTGGCCCATATTCAATCCTTGTTTGTGCCCTTCCCTCTCCCAAAATAGGTAGCATAGCTTAGTTTTATAATCTTAACTTTTAACTGGTGTCCTTAATGCAGTCATAGAAAAAAGTTTTAAATTACTTAATTTTTTTAAAATAAAACATAAACTTTGGAACAGAACTGTAAGAGTGAAGGAATGTAATTGCTTTGTTTTCCAGGTGATGAATGGTGCTATCCTTCAGCAGGTGTTTGTGGTAGATTATGTTGTTCAGTCCCAAATGTGTGGAGATTGCCATAGAGTTGAAGCTAAGGATTTCTGGAAGGCTGTGATTCAAGTCAGGCAGAAGGTACTGAAAACAGTGAATCCTGTGTCTTTTTGTTTGTTTGTTTTTGGTTTTTCAAGACAGGGTTTCTCTGTGTAGCTTTGGAGCCTATCCTGGCACTTCTCTGTAGACCAGCCTGGCCTTGAACTCACAGAGATCTGTCTGCCTCTGCCTGAATCCTGCATCTTGAACTTTTCATTGGCCATTGTAAATAGCTGATAAAAATCTAATCTGTTCCCTTTCCAAGTCCTTTATGTATAACAAGAATCTAGGTCTCTGTAACATTCAACTCTGGGAATATCTTGTTAATTTTTAAAGGATGTTTTTTGTTTGAAAAAAATGTTCTATATTTGTAGATGATATATGTGTACTATATGTATCAGTGCTCTCTTGGCATGTGATTTATTGATTGTATAATGCATGGTTATTTAGACTCTGCACAAGAAAACGTTCTACTATCTGGAACAATTGATTCTGAAATATGGAATGCATCAGAATACACTTCGTATCAAAGAGATTCATGGTGAGTTCAAATTTAAAAGGATTTGAAACTATCAAAGTTTTCTTTCAGTTATTCTAAATAATCTTATCTTTCTGAAAGTTGAAGCAGTTGTAGAAATTCTTTAAAAAATGCATGTGCATATATGTGCATGTGTAAAAAGAAAGTGAACTTGATTTTCTGTCTTCATTGTCCAGTATGGTAATGACTTTCGACATATGGCTAGTATTTGAAATGTGGCTACTATAATTTAGGAATTGAATTTTGAATTTTCTTCTGTTAGCTGATAACTAAAGTCCCATGTCATTAGTGACTACTCTGAATAGCACAGATCTAGAACTGTTTTTCTTTTTTTTTTTTTTTCCCAGTGGTGATGTCCCTTTGCCCCATTCATTCATTAAGCATTTGGTTTGTAATAGATGCCATTCTCCATTCTTGAAATATAATGATAATTAATATTAACTATTGCCCTCTGTGTTGTTCATCTTAAAGAATAAGCCAGTGACTCCATTAATGTAATGTAAAGTGCTGCAATAAGAAACTCACTAAAAACTTGTTTCATATTGGACAGATTGCTCTGATTGGAAGATTTCTTAAGTTCTTTTGTACTTTTTCTCTGTATTTTTTGTACTGAGAGGTATTTGTGGTGAATAGAATTCAATATAAACAAGAGTGATGAATAGTGAAATGTCTAAATAGTTTTAAAACTTAAAAAATTTCGTAGTAGTTTATAAGTTCTGCCTCAGAGTTTGTTTTTTGTTTGGTGTGGTTTCTTTGATGGTAGTAGGGATTAGCATCTGGGTTTTACATGACTGCCCCTGAGTGACAGTGCAGGCCCATAACATTCACTATAGATACAGTATACTTGCATATATTTGATAGAGATGCCATAGTTCTGGAATTAATAATTTAGAATATAAATATTTTAAAGCAAACACAAGACTTCTGCTAGTAATAGGTTTTGGTTGGTGCTTGTTATTGTTAGACAAGAGTTGTTTTTCTAAGGCAGATTTACTAGTGACTGTTGTTGAAGAAATGACCAAATTCCTTAAATGAGAAAATAGTATCGGTTATGTGAAAACTTAATCTAGGCCTCTAAGGTTGAGCATATTACTGGTAGGCATAGGTTTGTCTACATCATGAAACAGTTTAGTGATACCTTGTCTTTGTTAGGATTTCAATTGCTCTGAAGGGACACTGTGACCACAGCAACTGTTTTTTTTTTTAATTTTTATTTACTTTATTAGTTCAAATTAGGAACAAACTTGCTTCAGATGTCAATTCCTTCTCCCTCTCCCTCTCCCTCCCCCCCAACATACCACCTGCCCCTAGCCATCTCTTCTCCACTCCCCAGGCAGGGTAAGGCCCTCAAAAGGGGCTCCCCAAAGTCTACCACATCATCCTGGGCCAGGCCTAGGCCCTTCCCCATGTGTCCAGGTCAAGAGAGCATCCCTTCATATGGGATGGGTCTCAAAATCCCTTCTTTTTTTTTTGTTTTTGAAGACCTTACATATATACAGTGTGTTACCCCTGTACAACTGGAAAAAAATTAAGTTCAACATTTCTAGAACAATATGGCTGTTAATTTTTGTACAATGCCAACTGAAAGCAGTAAACTGGGATACTTTTTTCCAAAGTTGACACAGCTAAAGTTTCCAAAAATTCAAATTATATGTGTGTGTGTGTGTGTATTTATATTTATATTTATATTTATATTGAAAGACCAATAATGGCAGTATGTTATGCATCAATAGCAACAATGGCTTTTCCAGGTTCTGCAGTCATTTGAACAAAATTGTAGAGACATCCAGCACTCTCCATTTAAAAAAAAAAAAAGTAAAAAACAAAATCCCAGAAA